TCTCAAGAACACGAGACATATTTGTGCCGCATATCTATGTTTATTGTTTTCACAGTCACTTTCAGCAGGCATGGTACCTCTTGACTACAAACATGGAAAGGTCGTTCCAGTTTACAAATCCAGTAATCTATCCCAATATTTTAGCATAGATTAAAGAATTCTTAGTAATCGCTCACAATCTGTCTTTGTTAATAACAATATACCTAGTGCTACCCCAGAACTTCAGGTGTTCCTCGAGGGTCCGTACTTGGTCCACTGTTGTTCTTAATTTATATTAATGATCTACCATTGCATGGCTCATCTAATATCCGTATGTTCGCAGACGATTGCGTAATTTCTCGTACCATTACTAACGTTTCCGAAAATGCATCTCTTCAAAATGACTTGCGAAGTGCACAAGAATGGTGTAACCTATGGCTAATGGAACTAAACCCTAATAAATGCAAGACTGTCTCTTTCCACCGCTGTAAAAAATCCACGCATTTTTTTTTTTTTACCGAATTGCTTGCGCTAACCTTGAACTAGTTCCTTCTTACAAATATCTTGGAGTAACCCTTTGCAGTGATTTAACCTGGGCGACTCACACTACAAACACCATATCATCTGCCAATAAAACACTTGGGTTTTTAAAATGCCATCTGCGCCATGCCCCTTAAGATGTAAAGCTACTTGTTTATCAGTCTCTCATCAGGTCAAAATTAGAATATGCATCCCCCATTTGGAACCCTCATCAACAATATCTGATCAATCAACTCGAGTCACTTCAAAATCAATCTACAAGGGTTTATTCCGCTCTCAGTACTCATATGACACCAGCATATCGGCACTGAAAACAGAATCCAGTTTATCATTGCTCGCATCTCATCACTGCACTGCTAGCATTTGTCTTTTTCACAAGTATTTTCACAGCTCTCTCGATAAGCCACCATACATTCTTCCGCTGACACGCATCTCCAGTCGCACCAGTCCACCGGCAACAAGTTGCTCGCCCACGTACCCGCACCGTCACTTTTTCGGCTTCTTTCTTTTTTCGTGCAGCAACCGACTGGAACGGCCTTTTCAAAGACATCACAGCCGTTACCTGTCCAACATTTTTGACCACTTTAACAGATCACTTTACAATGCAGTAAAACATGGCTTTTGTTTTTCATGTATGTACCCACCCCTTATGTATTACCCCTTCAATAGGGTCATTAAGGAATAAAAATGAAATGAAATTAAATAAAATATACAATTTTCACGTTTAAGAGGGGTCATACCCGTTACAATTCTATGTTTCTAAGTTTGAGAAGTACAAAAGATAGCATGGTATGGGACAGAAATGACAAAAAAAAAAAAGCGTCATCAGCAAGTAAAACCGAGCACCAATTGCTGCAGATGTGAAGGTCATGGAGGCACTTCACTGACGTTTCAGATGTGTAATGATGCGATGCACGTTTTGAAACTGGTCCTTTCATTCTATTCTTGAGGCGGAACACATTCCCGATTTAGATCTGGTATTGTTTGCACAGCGACAGTGCCGAGCAGACGATATAAGTGCGAAAACAGCAAACCTAGAAGTTGCTGTATTCGTACACAAAATGAGTGCTGCATACATTCACGGGCTTTGTTTGCCTGTTAATTTCCACTCTCCTAACCACTTGTAGCTTTTTGGGGCGCTAATTTGAACGGGAGGTTTCGCTTTCCCTCACAGTGCATGTAGGCTAGTGAGCATCGAGGCTCGCAATCAGTCTTTTCTTGACTGAAATCAGTCGGATTTTTCTTTTTCTTTCTACTTTCCCTTCAACTTGAGAAACTCAACGGATTCCGGTAATGATGTTACGGGGAATAAAGTATACACTGGCGAGCAAATGCGTGCTGGCGAATATACTGGCGAGCAAATGCGTACTGGCGAACATACTGGCGAGCAAATGCGTACAACGCTGCTGCATTCCGAGCACGTTCACATTCAGCACTTCGTCGTCGTCATCCTCAGGCATCTACTTAGCCCGTGACATTACCCGCCGGCGGCAGAAGCACCGTCCCGGTGCGATCAATTCTCGGGGCGTGAGTAGTATGGTTTAAGCCGTGAGACGTGCACTATATGGGTCGGGACTGAAGCTGGTACTGACGTGGTATGGAGTGAAGCTATCTCATAGGTCACGCTGGTGACCTTGCGTATGACGCGGTAGGGGCCAACGTAACGGGACATCAGTTTTTCGCAGAGACCAACCCGACGTGATGGCAACCACAGCAAGACGAGCGACCCCGGGGAGTACTGTACGTCACGGTGCTGGCGATCATAAGCACTCTTTTGGTTAAGCTGCGAGGCACATAAACGATTCCGGGCGACTTGGCGGGTGATGTCAGCTCGGGCCAGGGCATCACGAGCATAAGCAGTCGATGAGGGGGCGTCAGATTTGGAGCATGGTGTCCATGGGCAAAGGCGGGTCATAACCAAACAGTAGGTGAAAAGGTGAAAATCCAGCTGTATCATGACGTGAACTGTTGTATGCGAAGGTAACGAAAAGTAAGTGGATGACCCAATCTTTGTGATCCTTGAAGACGTACATCGCTAACATATTCGTCAGGGTACGGTTGAGGCGTTCCGTGAGGCCGTTGGTTTGCGGATGGTACGCTGTAGCGAACTTGTGGTGGGTAGAGCAGGATTGCAGGAGCTCGTCGGCTACATTAGATAGAAAACAGCTACCGCGGTCGGTGGGAGCACCATGACGCAGAATGATGTCATGAAGAAGGAAATCGGCTACATCAGTAGCGCAGCTGGTGGGGAGGGCGCGTGTAACAACATACCGCGTTGCGTAGTCGGTAGCAATAGCAATCCACTTATTACCGGTGGCCGACACGGGAAAAGGTCCTAGAAGATCGAGGTCGACTCGGAAAAATGGCTCATCTGGTACTTCATTGGGCTGGAGGGTACCAGCAAGTCCCAGAGCAGGTGTCTTGCGGCGCTGGCAGAGGTCGCATGCCGCAATGCACTGTCGCACAGATCGGTAGAGGCCAGGCCCAAAGAATCGGCGGCGAATGCTGTCAAACGTGCGTGACACCCCTAGGTGTCCAGCGGAGGGGGCATCATGGAGCTGGGCCAAAACGTCTGAGCGAAGATGCACAGGAACAACGAGTAAAAGCTCAGCACCATCAGGGCGGGCGTTGTAGTGGTGCAAGATGTCGTTGTGAAGAACGAACAGTTGTAAGGAGTGGTCAGGGTGGGAAGAGTGCAGACCATTGATAATAGCACGCAAAGAGGGGTCGTGGCGTTGTTCAGTAGCTATGTTGGTGAAGTCGGTAATTGAAAGAACGAGGGCCTTTTGTCCATCTTTCATCGTGTCAGGGGGATCGACTCGGGTAACGGGACAAGCAGTCGGCATCCTTGTGAAGTTGTCCGGATTTATAGGATACAGAAAAAGTGTACTCTGTAAGCCGCAGCGCCCAGCGACCAAGGCGTCCCGTAGGGTCCTTGAGTTAGGAGAGCCAGCAAAAGCGCATGGTGGTCCGTAATAACTGACAATATCGAGGCCATTCACAACGTTGCAAAACGACCACAAGTAGCTGGGAAACAAGCAACTGTTTTAAGCAAGTCTAAAACTTCGATAATCTCAACAGAGCTTCCAGCCGCCACCGCACAGCAGTGTCACGGTACCTGGAAGTTGCGAATAGCTAAGTGCTTGCCTAAAATCACTCATTGTGTACCTTGAGAATAGATTTTCACATTTTTCGATATAACGAAGGACAAGCATTTGTTCCAGCCCATTAACACGTGCTACAAAAAATGCTAATCAATGCAATACAGACCTTCTGTGTTGGAAAATAAAACAGAGATTTCTGATGCACATTTGAGCAGACAGCAACCAATGGCACAGAAGAGCGGAGACTGCCACTCCCTTCGAGCAATAAATGAATACTACCTGAGAAGAACATTTCAATTTTCAACAGCTCCATCTGACTAAGATCAGCTGCAAGAATCGATGAGGGAAGAGAGGGCCGACAACTGGAAGCATGTGCCAATGTATTTTTGCAGTGGTCAGCTGGCGTGACACTATGCCCTGACCAGGCCTTGTTGCTGACCAGCCTGTTACCTGAAAGTTCTTGTTGCTCCCTGAAGTGGCACCTAGAATTTCTTTAATGGGGTTTCTCTTACTCGTGCCCAGAAATGAAGCCAAGAACTGGCTAGAATATCGCTGAAATTACCTAAAAGTGCAGCGCCAAACGAGTGAAGGTAGAGATGAGTCGTCGCAAGTTCGCATTTAATAACCTTTGAACTTCCAGGTAAGCTACACTGTTAAAACAGCGTGGTGGTCAGCTTTTTATGTCACGAAGTTCACAAATAACACAAATTTAGGAAGACAGACACATCAGAAAACATGTTTTCTGTTTTCTTCGTTCCATTTTGTTTTAAACTTTTTTTTTAATGTGGAAGGCCCCATAGCAGGTTTATTTTTTCTCTTATTAGCGCATATTGCGCACTATGTTCTTACAAACGAGTAATATTTCTACCTTTTTGAGCGAAGGTGAATTAGTGAAAGCGAACCGGTTTAGCGCTCGCGGACAGCTTCACGAAACCATTGCAATATGGTCTCTCTCCCAGCGGCACTCTGGCTAGCTTAGTGAAAACACGTCGTAACGTCTCGTTTAGCAAGTGTACTTGAGCTATCCACTGATACACTGAGCATCGAGCACAAGCAAGAGTGGTTTTCACGCTTCTTCAGTATGTGGCTCTGTTACGACATTTGCTGCGGCTCCCTGGAGTGGCAGCAAATGGCGTGGGGAGCTGTGGAGTTTCCCCTTCTATCTATTTTTGCTCCTACAATCATGTAAATGCAGTAGATCTATTGAGTATTGTCAAGCCGCTGAAAAACAGCTTTTACTGCAGACTCTTTGGCTACAACGTACAGTAATGATGGCGACACTGTATTTGGGCATTTTCCCAAGAACTAACCAAGGAGCTCCTTTTACGCTTGTTTCATCAACAGTGCTTCGCAGCAGCAAGAGAGAGAGGTACGCACGTGCTTATTCTCCTGCTCCCGCCAACGGGCCAGTTCTTTCGAGGCTAGCTCTTCGGGGGTCATGCGCACCAGTCTGTCAGGAGCAATCTTGCCCCGAAGGATCTTGCGAAAGAGGCCCTGGTTGCGGCTGTCCTTGATGTTGAACACCAGGCTACGGTACTTGGACTTGTAGCGCGTGCCTGTGTCCCGGAACACCTTGAACAGCTCCTCCTCAATGCGGAGCGCCATGCGGCGCACCTCGTCACCCGACAGTGACAGGTCCGAGGCCTCCTTGCACCTGGTACACACACGACACGACACCTCGATCACTTAACACCGACAGCAGCAAAAAACAGGGCACAAGAAGAACCCTCAGCAAGCTACACACCCTCTTCATGCAGACCCTGAAAACAATCTTTTCAACGAATGTGTAGTGCATTCACAGATGCACTTGTACTTGGAATGTGTAACGGAGCTTTGCATCAATTCTCACAGTGGAGAAATTTTTACTGAAGGAAGAGTCACCCTGATGAAAGTTTTGAAAATGAGCATTCATCGTACCTTTGGATCAAACCTTGCAGTTGCCTCTTTCAAACATTGGCACTAACGGCTTGAAACTTTTAAGCTTTCCTTGTGGAGTAAAACCCTGTTTGTTAATAAGTACCCGAGTAAAATGTAGCATAACTATATTAGAACAGTTAGTGATACTAAAGTTCTTTATATGTTACCTTTAGGTAGCATATACCATAAGTCTAATGTCACAACTCTAGGGATGCACAACTCTGGTACCTTTAGGTAGCAGAGTTGTGCATCTGTTTGCTAAAAATTACTAGCAACCATGCAGTGCAGAGAAGCTGATGTGCAGGCCAATTAAACTTCTGTTGCAGCTGTAGCAAACTAGTTCGACAAAAGGGCTCCTTCAGGGCCACCACTACCCCCTATACATAACTCCCTAAACATCCACTGTCACTGCAGCGAAGTGTGCCTTTCTACTCCCATGGCACAGAAAGGAGATATTTCTTGTTTCATTGCTGGCCACTAACTTGCCAGGCAAGTTACCGTCAATAATTGTTACCCGCAAAAGACTGCGACTTCGCGGCACAGCTGTGGTTACTAGCTGGACCTATGCGCAACTCTGGTTTCATAGGCAGGGGTGGAACAGGGTACATGGGTTTGGGAGCAGTCCTCGGAAAAGGTAAAAGTGCCTTTTGTAGGAGGCTTGGAGCATCCAGAGAGACATTTTGAAGGAGGCTTAGAGCAACCAGAAAGGCTTTTCGAGCAAGTGTGCAGCAGTCAGAAAGAATGTTCAGAGCAAGTGTAGCCCCGTTACACAGCACTTGTAGAGCAGCATTTGTCTAATGCTCTATTTTTCAAACACCACTTAAGCTAAATTATACAATAGCCTTATTACAATAGTCATCACTCTTAAAGGACATCTACCGTATTTATTTGAATCTAGGCCATAGTTTCTTTCACACTTCTTTGTATTAATCCCCAGAGTCGGCTCAGATTCCAAGATTTTGAAAAACGCGCCATTTTTCATTGAGGAAAGTGGTGCATGATTAGCCCCATCTAGATGGTATTGTAGCCATAGTAGCCAAGCCAACACATGGCTTAAGTCTGTGTACAGTGTAGTAAAATGCAGTGTGCTCACTGAAGGGCGGAGAGTGACACACTTCGTGTCGTCATCAAAGCATTTCGACGGGTTGGAAGGCGCGGCTGTATTGCGCGAAAGAAAGGTTACGCCACGTGTGCAAATTTTCTGCTTGTTGTGAAATAAATTGCATGGTTGTGAAGGCTGGGTGATGTTTTAAGCAGCTAGTGAATGGATGAATGCTGGTCCACAGAGCCACTGCGGTAACAAGGCGTGTAATTTTTTTTGTATCTACTAATAGTTTTTTTTTTTGTATCTACTAATCGATACGATGTTCAATGCTATTTCGCCACTGTAGCGATAACAGCAACTCCACTCCCGCCTTTCGAGCCCCACTATGCAAAGGGAAACAATGCCTTATTTTCCAATTCTTTTTTTTTTTTTTGCCCGCATACGAGAGGGTCTAACTGGAATTTACTGAATGCTTTTTTCGCATATAACTCATGGGTGGAATCACTTGGCTTTGTGATAAATATATCCGCATCGTAATCTTGAACTTTTTAATTATACATATAGATCATATAAGGTTATCAAGAAAGGTTGGACTCATAGGCAAATGTGGTACTTACGAATCTAATGAAAAAATATCTATGCATAGTTATCATGACTACATAACAAGTATTATATATCACATGCGTCCCTATATTTGTACTACACCACAGAAATAAATTCCACCAGTTCTTAAGCAACGTGAATAGAACAGGGAACTAAGAAACACGCGACAGCATCTAAGTGCTCACAAATTGATTTTATTTGCAGAATGTCGTGTTTATGTATGTGCAAATGCTTGCTATATCACAGTACAAATTAATAATGCAGGAATAATTGTCACTAGTGGTCATAGAGTAAACGGATGCAACAAACGTGAATAAGCATCTGCTACTCGATCACAAAATTAAAAAAAAAAAAAAGATGCAAGAAATATTTAATGTAATTCCAAAGCCTATCAGCACAGCCAAAAGCCGAAACTCTGTTACTGCGATTTTGATAAAAACTATCAATGCACACACAATAAAAAATCTATGCATATAAGGTTCAAAGCGAGCATCAAATATAAAATAACGAAAACGAAAAACAGGGTGAAACAGTGAGACAACCCACACAAAACCACCCAAAAAAGCAAATTTTACGTCATTTAATATGACTGTTCACGTAGTTATCAGCCAAAAGTTGAAGTACAGAAAGGCCAATCTCAAAATGCTTTACTAATAAATTTTTTGATCTATACCAAAGCATGATTATGGCTTTGCAGTCACTGCCCCTGTGCTTCTTTTCATGTTTTCCTTTGCTTTTTTTATTCGTATTTTACACTGCGGTCCCTCCCAGATGGGTCCAGCTCTTTTTGTCTTGAAACACTGCCCAGAAAATTTCTCTGCACGTACACGGCATGCTTTGCGTGAGCAACCACCAGAGGCTGCAAAAATGTACCCTTCCCGTCCAGATGTAGTAGCAGACTGTTTTTGAGACAGTTGCAATTTGCGGATAGACAGAGATGCCGATCCTTCCGAGAAACATACACAAGCGCAGCAAAGCGGCACATGTGGTACCAACAAAGGTCCTTCAAATGTATGAAAGGCTTAACAAGCCCTGCAGCTGGGCACATTCGAATAAAAACAGCAGCTTAATCTGCTTGGGCATGTTTAAAGATAAAAAAAATAATGAAGTTAAAGACCTGAATGTAAACATTCGACAGAAGTCTGTCTGGTTGGGTATGAAACTGGGAGATTATTTAGACTCCAACCAAAAGTTTTGAAGAAACCCGACGTTTCAAAATCGACTTGGTTCCTTCTTCAGGGATGACAGTCACCCCTGAGGAAGGAACCAAGTCGGTTTCGAAACGTCGGGTTTCTTCAAAACTTTTGGTTGGTAGTTTAAATCATCTCCCAGTTAAAGACCCCTTGTACTATATAGGTATACATACAATTTTTACTTCTTGAATCATTGTGAATGCCCTCTACCCACCTCCGACCCCGCGTTTAATAACCCTGGAACTGCAGCGTAACCAGCGACACTCTAGGTATGTGCAAACACATTTCACACAGCGCCAAAGAAGTTTCAGGGGAAACGGGCAGCAGCCCCTTTGGTGAGCGCCCGATCTGTCGACGCGGGGAGGGCCATGTCGGCGCAGCACAGGAATAGGGCAGTAATACCAGTGCCTCATTCTAGTACACTGTAGTCGGTGCTTAAGTACACACATAAGGCCGCCATTTTGATCGCTGTGGCGAGTGTTGAGGCAAGCAGTTCGTGATTTCCAGTCGCAATTCGAGTGGTTCGTGTGTGGCGTAGCTCAATGGCACCAAACAGGCAATGTCATTATAATGCCGCTAGTGTCATTATAGTGTCATTACAGCAGGGTAGGACTTTTGAGTGGACGAAAACAAATGTGCATCACTAGAGAGGCTGCTGCTGCAGCGTGGAATGGCATCCCAGGAACTTTGATAGTGCACTTTTTTGACTAGTGCGGTATATCTAATGCACTTGATGGCACCGAGGCGCATACACTGTTTGAAGACAGTGACAAAGAAGTCAGCGCCGAGTCGGAATGAGCACGGTATCGGCAAGCGCGGCATCTTTCATGATGCAAACTAGAAGCAGAGGAAAAAAAAACTGACACAATTACGCACAGAACAGGACTCGGCGCTGTCTGTTTCTTAAGTTATTTGCTTCATGAACCAACTGCTTTGTTTCATCTTTATGTTTAATAAATGTTACTTATTTGTGAACGCTGTCTTTACCGTTTCGATCGGCCTAAAGCGTTTCGATCGGCCTAAAGCTGAGGTAAAGTTTTTTTGTTTTCCCCCTGCGGTGTCTCGAATAGGCAAGCGCCACACTCTTGGAGTGAACGGACACAGCAGACGCAGTCGGAATGAACCAAAACAACACACATTTATTTAAATACTTTTTGAATGCTGATATCATCAGCCGAATAATTATACACCATCAACTGTGCTCAACACGTTAAAACAGCCTTACACAAAATCACACCACACTAACAACATGACAAACAAGGCGGTGTCGCCAACACCTGACTCAGCACAAGGGCCCCCCGGCAGACGGCCCGCAGTGCCCTGCACCAGGATCCCACTGCGAGAGACAACCATTCGCGCCAAACACCACCAGTCAAAAGAGCCTCGCTCGATATCTCGTGCCCCACGAAGGCTTGCCGTCAGGGGTCACCGCAAGCGCTACAGATCTAACGCCGACCGAGTGGGGATTTGCAGCCAAAGCCTCAAGCTAATAACGTGCTGTTTTCTAGGTGAGTGTGTAGCTACTTGCTTGCCCTTGCTGAACTTCTAACTGGCTGCATATCCCCCAATTGCACACTGTCTATGTATGACTAAGTATGGGTATTGATTTGTGCACTTACCGCGCCCGCATCGGCTGTTTCACCCAGCCGAGAAAAAATACGGGATCATGTAATCTTTTGTGGCTCCGTCCGTGTTCATTAGGTCGCCGTCACTTGCTGGGTGGACGCCTAGTGCTTGTGTTTTTTTCGCTTGCTCATTTGCTCATTTGTGCGGGCGACGTTGAGCGTAATCCAGGTCCTGACAAGGTTGACCAAGTGGTGGCACTGGTAAAGGAATTCACTGCTTCAAATGAACGTTTTCAAAAGGAAGTGACGAACAAGCTAAAAGACATTCACA